ATTTGGGTGCACATGATGTCAGTTGATATTGTCCCCAATCAGCAATCATGTAATTTCTCATGGTGGGCTGGACTAAAATATTGAATCCATCTAATCTGAATTTGTCCAATACGAATCCATCTGATTATATATCAAATATATAGCGATCTTCTGTAAAACACTGCAACATTTTTCTAATCCACCAGGACCTACATATACATGAAACAAATGCCAAAGATACAAAACAAATTTCAAAAAACAAATCGAGTCAACATAACATATTTGATGAAACTAAATTCTTCAATGAACGAATGCATCCGAAACTAAATGAAAAGTACACATGTCTAGGAAGCAATGCTAACTACATATGTTGGTTGTTTCTCTGTAGTGCCTTACTATGTCAACTTTGCCAGTGATCTAGAAAAGTTGGAGTTATGGTTTATGAGTTAGGGTTATTAGCAGATGGGATAGGCCCATTTCAGGTAAAAAAAATCAACTCAAAACAGCCAGAGAAGAATACAGTAGAAACTCATATTTTGAAAATGCGTTATCTGACAAAAAAATATTGAAGTACACATTTGTCTATACTCTGCTTCCCTCTCCAGTGTGCTATTTGGAGAAGGAGGGTGGCAATACTTTTCACTCCATCTGCTTTTTGGGCAACAAGTTAACATCACCCAATTCTAGAGACTGCTGGAGACTGCCAATCTGACTCTTCCAACTAACACCTCTCCCGTATCAGCTGCCAGAGCAGGCATTTCAACTTAAAACTTAATTTTAGCTTTCAGCAGGAGTGTGGCAACTCAACGTTAAGATTTATTTCAGTCAATTTTGTTCTCAATAGTTCTTTCATAAAACTAAAAACAAAGGACAGCAGATTGTGTCAAAGGATAATACTACATAGCACAAGGAAAAAATATGAAGTCAAATAAAAAAATAAAATAAAACAAAAGTGAAATACACAGACAGGTTTTCCTTATATACTCTTTATATACCATGTGTATAAATATATTTTAGCAAAGAAACTATGTGAGGCTATAATTTGGCCATAATAGGCAAAGTAAGAGGGTCACTTTATAGGAGGTACATTAAAGTGGAACTTTGGTCTAGTGGAGTGCCGTACTTACCCTACTCCATGGTACTACAGGTTCTATCCACTCTGGAGGACTGGTCCCCCGAAGTTGCTCTTCTAGGCCACTTGTACAATCGCCTAATTTCTGAAGCCTCCACATACAATGCAGGACCAGCAGTCCTGCATTGGAAGTGATAACTTTGGAGCTCGCTTACATAGTAGCAAGAAGAGAAGAAGATTGGAGAACCATCTGCAGCAGGACCAAGGTACAGGGTACATATCTTATTCTAATTCAAACCCCTAGAAAAATAAGCAGTTTTTATATATCTATGGGATGGAGGCTATAGATCCATAATGAAGCTTCAAGCCCAGAGTTGGGCTTTAAGGAACCAGTACTGGCCTTCAGTCCAGCTAGAGTCACCAGAAACGTCTCAGAAAGTAGAGACTTAGTCAAAGCTATCTATGCTTACCCCATGACACTTGTTTAACCTGGTGACTGGTCATTGAGAAGACAATTGCAATTCTTTGATGTGTCCCCTCATAACCAAATTATTGGGTATTTCTTGAGGTTCTAGTAGCAGATTAGGGCTGTGGGAGAAGCACAAGGAAGGTATGATCAGGAATATTGTGCTATAAAGAAAACCCGTTACTTTGCCTAGTATCAGCAAACTCAAGGTTCATTTAATGAAATGCAAACAGAACTTTCTAAACTCTGTGAATAAAGTTTAAGAGGAGAAGATCTTGAAAGTATGACAATACCCAAATATGCTTATGTTAAAGTTTCTTTCGCTGAATTGGTCTTTGCTGAACATACTTTGCATGGGTTGCTAGACTGGTCTCTAAAGCTTTACTGAGCATTCAAAGACTGAGTTTGAAAAGGCTCTTCTTTCTCTGTATCGCAGTGCCGCTGGCATCACTGAATTATTTATGTCAGGCACATAAATTTAGAAATGTGAAGACTTCACAGGAATTGTATTCTCTAATTTATTTTACATATTTATGTTTTCAGTAACAACCAATCAATTGTGTTTTTTTGTGCTGTGTTAGCTAAATTGCATTATATTTGGTAGCTGTTTTGACATTTACTTCCACCTTATTAGACAGTGAATGCAACCATCAAATGACTAATGAACAAAATCATCTACTATGCTATTTAAATAAACATTTCTGACATCAGTCACTGAAAGGTGTCTTAAGTCAATCTAATTATTCTTTTCATTTCCTGCAGACTAATGCTACATATTTTCCTTACCCGTATTTACTTCAGATAACAAGATTTCAGAACTTTTCTATATTTTGCCTGAACCTGATTGGCTTCCATAAATCTGGGTTCACATGTGTTAATGGCTAGTGTAAAAATTAGCACTTTAGGAAGTCACTGTTATATCTTTTTTTTTTTGTATTTCTTTATCACCAAAGCAGGAATTATTTGGTCCTGGTGACCATTATCGTGAGCACAGAAAGTAAAAGGAAATCTAAAATTTTACAATTGTTACCACAGTTGGAAAATGTCCCAATGGCAACATTTTCTGTGACAAACTTTCCACTTTGGGGAAATTTTCATCCAACTTATTTTTGTGTCTCCAGGACAGGAACTGATATAAAATTTCCACACTGAGGGTACAGATACCAATGAACATTTGACAGAGATTCTAATCATTCCCAACTATTTTTAAATGTAGAATTAAAAAGATTTAGCTGGAGTTTCAGTTTATTCAATCAGCTGTTGTCTATAAAACATGGCAACTCTGCTCAGACAGAGTGGGGAAAAGTTTCCTCATCTGTAAGTTTTTTTTATACTGTGGATTTGTCCTCTTTGCAGAAATTTTCCTTTTTTTTGTACTTTTTTTTTGTGACAACCAATTAGGATTGCAATGTAATTGTGAATGTCTGTAGTCCTGTACTTAGATGTCTACTGTAGTGTGGTGTTAAAACAGTTGGCTTGTACTTTTCCATATAATTCTGTTGGTGCTTAGGCAGACACTAATGTTCAAATAAAATATTGCTATAAAATGTATACTGGAAGCACAGGCTATTCTACCATATCTACGTGTAGCCCCCTGGTCCTAAATTAGGGCCACTATGCAAATTTAGTTTTTGGCTGGGCTGTAGTTAGCTCAGACTGAGTGTACGGTTACTTTATCTGGCATTCCCCTAATCTCAGTTGGGGTGTGCATTTCTCACTATTGCCAGTAGGTGTCACTGGTACCACAGGTCATAGCATGAGATTGCACAATTAACCTGAGCTATGAATATTTATATTTCTTCTAGAAAGCCCAGTAGGAGGTTCATGGCCACGGGTGCATGCTGGGAGAGGATATAAATATTTGGACAAGTCATGTGCCTGGAGAGAGCTGTGTTAGGCCCAGAAGCCTGTTTGGGTCTACCTGCTTTGAAGTGGTCCTGAGGCTGTCCTGCCCAAGGTGGAGGAAGCCCATCCAAGGTGAGAAGATCCAGTGGAAGCCCCTTGCTGAAGTGAGCCAGGATGAAGGCTGGTCTTTCAGAAGGGCCTGGTGACTCACTTGAAGGACACACTGTGCTCGGAAAATGTGCTTGCTTTGTTGCCGGGTTGGTGTAAAGGTTCTGATACTGTGAAACTGGACTGTGTTCTGGATCCAAGGAGTCTGTAAGTGATGTGCAGCATCTGAATACCCTAACCCTCTCCTACCTCCTTTCAATTTCAACATTAAAGCTTTGAAAAGACCTAAAGTGACTGGCGCCCAATGTCTGTTCTAATTTCCCTTTGGAGGTAATATATCAGTCTTCGGAGGAATCTGGGGGGGGAGGGGGGGTGCTAAATAAGTTTTAGTAAAAATATCTTAGTATATATATTTATCAAATAGGTATCAACATATTATAGCATGACATTTCTACTCAGGCTGGTGAAACACTAATAAAATTTTGTTCAAAACATTTCAGAACATTCATTTTCTAAAAGTTAGTGGGTTCATCAAAGCCATGAGAAAATTTGAAAGAGGAGGATGGAAAATGTTTGTTGAATAAGATTCTAGTTTTTGTCTTGGAAAAATTGAACATATTGTAATGTGCATATGCTAAGCAAAAAAGACATCTGTTTAATACATCTGAAATGTAGCAGGCCTAGAGGAAATTTTAATGGTTTTTGAGCAAATTTAGTTGACTTGATGATGGCCAGATCAAATGCTCTGACCAATGAATTTCAAGATTTTAAATTTGAACATTCAATGAAATTCTAGTGGAGTATGGCCAGCTATAGGTCCTATCTCAATTCCACATCTTTATTGATATAAAACACTTCTGGGGTGCTGTCAACAAGATAAGTCCATCTTGATGTTTACATAATCAGATTACATTAGATGTTTCACCTCCAAAAAGAAGGTAAAGCAGTATCAAACCTGTCACCAAAATTGATTTGTACATATCATTGTCCCATTGTATGCCCTGATCTGATAAATGTTATTATGTTGGAGAGAAACCATATCCTCAAAATTGCTAAGAAACTGGCACTTCCAGGAGTGTCAATTTCCTGTGTTCTGTGCCTTCTGTGCTCCTTGGTTCTGGTGTTGTAGCAGTGGCCTGTAGGGACATGGAGGTCGGTGGGACAAAGCACTTTATGTACCAGGGGATCAGGAATTCAACTTTCATGCAAGTGCTGATTTCTCAGCAGACCTCAGGGGAAGATTTCTCTTTAACAAAGTGGCATTTGGTACTCCATCTTTATTCAAGGGCATTTTTTTTTAGGGGGGGGGGGGGAATTTAATCTTGAGGACAGGGTCACTTTAAATAAAATGTAGCTTCAGGAGAACCAGTTTGCACCAGGGTGTCAGGCACACATACACACTCTTTAGAGCTACATATGATCTTTTGTTTTGTTTTATTTTTGCATAAATAACATACTTACTAAACAATGAAGGTTAAAGAAAAGGGGAAATACATAAAATTTTGAACACATTAATCTTACTTTCTACTGCAGGTCAGAAAAAGCAGCTGGAAGATCATTCCGATTTGGCTCAAGAAGAATGTAAGTCTGAAACGGCTGAGAATTCCATCGAAGAACATGTTGAAGGAGGACATGATGCAGATGGAGAAGAGATGACAGATGGAATAGAAGAAGATTTTGATGAAGATGGGAGCAATGAATTGGTATGCAATTTTGATTTGGCCTTGGCTGGCTTTCTGACAACTGCAGAACTTCCCAGAAAATCTGACATGAGCTCTCATATACTGTTTAGACATGCCTCCAAACTTTCTGAGATTGGAAAGAGTGGCATCTTCCCACATTAAGTATGTTGGCAAAGGACACACCCCTGCCATGACCCCAGTTTTGTAGAATAATTAATATGTGAAAAATGATTGGTTAAAAAATTAATGCTTTTTTTTACCATAACTTTACATTTAAACCTGAAGTTTAGGTATGATTTTTATTGCATTGCAGCTTGGATCAATGTAGGGGTGCACATCTCATACCTTAGGGGTCACTGTGAATGCTGCCAATCATTGTAGTAGTCGGCACTACTATGGTGATTGCAGCAATCTTTTGGCTTCTGTGCTGAGTGTCTTACCTTCTGCATAGCAACCACAGTGGGATGCTTGCTTGTCACCACCACCATTCACAGATGAGGTGGAGAGGCAGAGCAGTGATGTCATGTTCTCCATCTCCCCAAATCAGAGGATGCCTTGTATTCACTGAAAAAATACAAGGTGTTCTATGAATGGCATTGGTACCAAGAGAGCAACCCACTGTGTTCATTATGCAGAAGGGATGTCGCCTGGCACAGGACCTGGAAAATTGCTTCTATCACAGTAGCTACCACTATTACAGTGATTTTCAGCTTCCACAGCAATCATTTAGTCTAGACCAACACAACCAGGCAATAGGAATCATACCTACAGTTCGGCTTTAATACTATCTTTCTAAAGCAATAAAAGCAATCATATTTATAAAAAATGAAAGGTTTAGTGCAGTACAACACTTTTAGTAGTTAAAAAATACATATTTGTAGAGATCTATTCTTCAGGACAAAAAGAGGGGCAACTAAGGAGCAATTAATGACAGAGATTTTTTGTTGTAAAAGAGGGCCTGGGATATACCAGAGGTAATAGAACATTAGGCACAAATCATAGTTGGTAAAACAAGCTGATGTCAATACAAGAGCAGAAGAGCAGGAGATTGTACTTACATAAGCAATATTTTAGCTGTGTATTCCTTGCCTTTACCATGAACCGCCAACAAAACAACATTTTTATTCTGCACCTGACATGCACAGTGATACCATATACAGCATGTGTAAATGTTTTGTGGTTCAAACCCAAAAATAGGACCAAGAAACAGCAGTGTGCATTTTACTGTGCTTTTTAATCCTAACTAAAGCATAATGACCCTAACACTGACACCAACCTAGATCAAGCATTGATCTAGCTACTTTAGCTTTTTTTTTAACTTTGAAAAAGATACAATCATTAGGAGAAAGAGTGCAGGCGTAGGTTTTACAGTTAGTGATCACTGTGATAGCTGATCACAGACCATCACAAGGGATCATGTGATCAAAAGCCAGTCCTCCATGCTAAGAGTGCGCTATGGAGCATCACAAGAGATTATGTGCTCAAGAGCCAGTCCTCCATGCTAAGAGTGCGCTATGGAGCATCACAAGAGATTATGTGATCAAGAGCCAGTCCTCTGTGCTAAGAGTGCATTATGGAGCAAAAACACATGTGCACATATATGCTTCCAGTACAAGAAAGTTGACATCAGTGATATCGCATATATTGTGAAGGTGGAGGCCACGGGATATTAGCCTGTTTGGCACCACCATGAGCAGTGAGCATGCAGGCATGCTCGCCAAACATGCAAAATAAAAAGAACTGGCATGTGGCCATTCACAATTCTGTGGGCAGAATCATAAACATGAACGTGTGCAGTTGCTCATATTGGAATCTGACTATGAAGGCTGGCATGATCTACCTCGCAATTTGTCTTCCAAGCGTAAAGGACTACTATTGTGAAAGAAATTATATTCTGGCAACACAGTATACATTATGATAATATGTTGGGTAGGTGCAGCTTGGTGTTGCAGGCAAACAACACACAGAGTGCTTTTTTGGCAGACATGGTCTATTGCAAAACTAGCAAAATCAGTACAAACAAACTCGGCGGGGATGTTTACCCGACTGGGGCATTCCAACAGTTCAGAGAGGAGATAGTGGGATGCAGATTCTGAGCTGCAGACAACATTTGTGAGGAGGAATGGGTTTGGCCTTGCTGGTTCAACCCAATGGGGAGCTTCCTGAGAAGGTAGACGTAGTCCCCACTCTTTCCCTACTCCACCTAATACTGTCCTTGACAGATGGAAGATCTGTCCCTACACTAGCCACTCACATAAAGTGCCTGGGTCAGAGTCTTAAATAGACTCTGTCAGACCAGTGTCACAGGGTGCCAGAGCATCCAACTGGATCACTGCACTATGTGGCCAAGGACGTCATAGAGAAATCCATTTTCTCTCCTCTTCCTCTCCTCACTGTCATGCCACTGTGGTATAGTGCTGCTTACAGTGGAGAAAAAAGATTGCACCTGCCTACAAATACATGTAATATTTTATTGCCAGCAAAGTTTATATATATGGTCCTGTTTAACCACCTTCCGCCCACCCTATAGTACAATGACGGGCGCAAGGTGGTTCTCTTATTCCGATAGGACGTCATATGACGTCCTACCATTATTACTGCGCATGCGCGGCTCAGGAAGCACGCAGCGCGGTGATTGCTGGTGCGCTGTGTCCCTCGGACACAGCGGATCACGGAAAGAGCCGAAGATGTCCAATCACAGTTGATCACATGTAAACACGGAAATGCCGGTTATCGGCATTTCTCTCCTCTCGAGCTGTCACACTGACAGCTCGAGAGGAGAGACGGTAATCGGCTTTCCGCGGAGGGGACATGTACACTAATCATCAGGGCACTGATGATCAGTGTGCCCTGATGATCAGTGTGGCCCCAGAAGTGCCACCTGTCAGTGCCCATCAGTGCCATGTGCCAGTGCCCATCAGTGCCACATCAATGCCACATATCAGTGCATACCAGTGCACATCAATGCCACATATCAGTGCCCATCTGAGCTGCCTTTCAATGTCACCCATCAGTGCCAATCAGTGCCACCTATCAGTGCCAGTCAGTGCCACCTATCAGTGCCAGTCAGTGCCACCTATTAGTGCCAGTCAGTGCCACCTATCAGTGCCGCCTATCAGTGCCGCCGATCAGTGCCATGTATCAGTGTCATGAATCAGTGCTGCCTTTCAGTGCCCATCAGTGATGCCTGTCAATGCCCATCAGTGCAACCTACCAGTGCCTCCTTATCAGTGCCCATCAGTGCCACCTATCAGTGTCCATCAGTGCAGCCTATCAGTGCCCATCACTGCAGCCTCATTAGCGCACATCAGTGAAGGAGAAAAATCACTTATTTACAAAATTGTATAACAAAAACTAAGAAAAAAAATTTTTTTTTTCAAAATTTTCAGTGGTTTTTGGTTTGTTTATGAAAAAATAAAAATCCCAGAGGTGATTAAATACCACTAAATGAAATCTCTATCTGTCTCAAAAAAATGATAAAAATTTCATATGGGTACAGTGTTGCATGACCGCGCAATTGTCATTCAAAGTGCGATAGCGCTGAAAGCTGGAAATTGGCCTGGGCAGGAAGGGGGTATAAGTGCCCTGTAGGCTAGTGGTTAAACAACTTACTGTGCTGAGAGCGTGCTCCCTGGATGCTTCCAGCATGGTAGCCGGTGGGGATCAGTAAGTTTCTGATGTATATCAGGAGCTTTGCAATCATGTGACTGCTGTGGCAGCATCTAGAAGTTGCATTTAATTGTTTTTCACCTTTTTCATAGGTCCAAATAATTTGTATGCTTGATGTAATGTCCTGTAGGGGATGCTGGAATAAATTTACACTAGGACACTGCATAGTGATGTACTGTGCTGTACATGATATAATATATACCTCTTTTAGCTCTAACAAAAACTTTAGGCCAGTTTAACTACTGGCGTACAGAAACCTGTTTATTTTTAATGCTTCAAATAATAGTTCAGTTTGAAGGATTTGAAATGAAAGATGTGACTTGGGCGGCAACTAGAAAAAAAAATCCAAATGCAACTTTTGAGAAAACACACAAAAAGTATTGCAAAAAATTCCAAGTGCAACTTTTTGCACAAAACGTCTTACAATCTCTGCCAAATAAATAATGGTACAGGAAATAAATTTAGTCAATATTTGGTGAAATATCTCTTTACCCAAAAAACATACTAGTGAGGTTAACAGTATAACTGTTAATAATTGACCCTAAATTACTGTAACTTTCCTGTGGAAAAGATGCAAAATAAAGACCTTGGAATCTACCTTCATATATGTAACATACTATACATTAGCATTAGTATTATGTACAATTATAGATATATGCTATCTATAGTAAACAAGAAATATGGTTTACACCCCTTTGCAAAGAGATCTGCAGATAGTGAAATTCCATATAAAGATTTACGTTTAACTGCCTCATATGCGGCTTTCTGCTACTTGTCTAGCATAGCCACAGTGAGTCAACTATCCAATGATCACCCTAATGGCATAGACTTAACAGCACTAAACAGAAATAAGTCATGATGTTTGCAGTTTATATGCAGATACCCAATTTGTGATAAGCCATTGCACCAAATCAGAGTTCAGGTTAGTCAGGCTATTTACTGTTTCATAGTCAGTGATTAGAAGTGTATTCTGATTGCTTGATATAAGCTGCTGCACTTGGCACTTCACGGTGGCTTTTTGTACTGCTGTTTTTTACTGAATACATCATGCTTCACCCAACATTGAACTTTTAGTATATTTTAAGCAGAAAGCTCAATGAAGAGGGGAAAAAATAATAATTTGTTTCAAATTCTTTCTTAGAAAAAATACAAAAGCCGGGATAAAGTTAAGTTCTTTTTTGTGTGCCTTGCAGCTGTAAAAGTCATAAGAATCAAGGTCCAAACCCAGAATTTCACAATGTTTTTTTTTTTTTTTATTTTAGATGGAAAATCATGTATCAGATATTGAAGATACAAGTAACTAAAAGTATATCTTATGGTAAGTCTTTAGAAATGACAAATTGATCTGTATCATACAGTACAGTATGCTGTATCATGCAGCCGCATGATTAAAAGTAGTGAGGAATTGTAGACTCAAGTGTAGAGCTTCAAGATCTCAGTTCACTCACCCACTTGCACTTTAGGGATTTCTGCCCACTTTTTTTAATTAAAAAAAAAGTTATTTTTCAGAAGGTTTGCTTTCAGCCTTCTGGGTATTTTCGGTCTGCTCATACCCTCAGCCTGTTTCTGACTATTACTTTTATCTCTGCAAACAGTCAATGCAAGCCACAACACACACTCCTTGTGTCTGCCCACATACTCAGCTACTCCCTTATAGCACATATCCTGGGGAGGGAGGAGCCCTGAGCCCTAATTATTCCCCCCCCCCAAAAAAATGAGGTTTACTTACTTCCAGGTAAGATGTAAACCTAGGAATGGAGGCGTTATCTAACCCAAAGCTCTCCAAAGCCTCTGGGTTCCAGGACTCAGAACAGGACTTATTAGGATATGAGGAAACAAAAAGTGTGTTTTCTTCATATCACCATAAACCCTGGAGCCTCTCAACATGTGTAGGAGAGCAAACTAGGTGACACATACACATCCTATAAAATCCTGATAGCCTGTGCCTCACGGTTTTTCTTGTGACCCTGTATCCTGTTCAAGATCACTGAACAATGTTTTGCTGTAATATTAATTTGTATAATTAGTGTCACAAACAAAAAAAAAGGTTAAACTCTAAGTTCACCTTTGCAAAAAAAATAAATGCACATTTTTTGCAGGTTAAAAAGTGTGTTTATTTTTTTCCTTAAGAGCCTGTAAAGCATTACACCCATGATCAGCAGATCACAGGTGCAATGACAGGTTCCTGCAGACTGTCAGTAGGGATGTCTGCCCATACATCTGATACAGGCAGGCAGTTACTGAAGTCCAGGAAGATCAATAAAATATGAGATTGCTCACCAGCACCCTTGTAGTTAATTGTGAACTACAATCTGTCAGCCACAACTGATGGTAACCTCTGAGCCCCACATGGCTGTGCTGTTTTTGACATGAGATGGGGGTGTGTAGAGAGGGTCCCCTAGCCACTGTCACAATAGGGGATTGGGTCGGGGTGGCGACAGGTGAATTAGAAACATGATACATGTTAAGCCCTAATTATGGGTGTGACATGTTAATAAAGGTGATCCTATTACTTTAATTAGATTATTTGGCACTTGGATAAAGAAAACAAATGATCTTACTTACTTGAATTTTATTTGTGATACTATCACCAGATCCTTGTAGTTCCATCCAATGGAGTATGGAGAATGGATTGAGGGAGGAGGCATAGAATGCTCAGCCAACAGCAATAACCTGTCATCATGTTTGTATTGCCCAGGTTGGGGAATGGTTTTCCTTAAAGCTGAATTCCAGGAATTTAACTACTTTGTAAAAACTGCAGGCATGCCATAAGTTAAGTCTAACAAAGTGCCTGCTGCCTTGCAGGCTTATCTCTTTATTCACATCTGACAGGGTTATTGTGCTCCAGGAAGATAACTCCCAGAGCGCCGACACTGCTCACTGTGGTCTCAGTTCCTTAAAGAGCAGGATCGCTGGAACTTCTATGCCCCGCCACTCCCCTCCTTCTGCCCATTCACAGTAGTCTTTGTATTATACAGTATATGAACTAACTCATAAAATACAAAGGCTCCTGTGAATGGGCAGCAGGGGGAAGTGGCAGGCATAGCTTTGTGTGCTTCTCTGCTCTCACAGCCAGAGTGTATCCTCCGGGAGTGCAATAAAGCCACATATACTGTAGGTAATAGAGGTAAGTCATGGAGTCGACATGCACCTAATTGGACTTAACTCATAGGGTGCCTGCACTTTTTGCAAAGTTCCTATATTCCTGGAATTCAGCTTTAGGTTTTGGGGAGGAAGGTTAAGAGTTGATGCATTGTTTTAGATGTTAAAGTGGAGCTTCAGGCAAACATCTAAATACACAGGTGAAATACATACTTATTTACTGTTTTACCTGTAAAATGATTTATAATTTTGTTTTTTTTATTCTTGTGATACACACACTTTTGTTAACCATTAAGATCACTTTGCTGCTTCTTGGTTTAGCAGTAGTCCATTATAAGTTACCACACGGGTGATAATGGAGGTTTTCTGTCCAGCGAAAAGGCAGAAGGTGAAGAGGTGACAGAGAAAGCTGAATTGAACCAGAAAGTTAAATTGAATAATACAGAGTTACAGTGTGTAAAATTTGAGTAAATCACAAGAATACTTGCACTGAGTTAGAAATGTGACAGTTTACCTAGACTTTGCTTTAGGAAAAGTTTTAAGCAACCCTGTCATTAAAAAATGGTATAACCCCTCTTGTCTGTAAAAAAAAGACAGTAAATACACCTTCCTAGGTGCTCACACCACCAAACTTCACTAGAATTTGTGCTCTGAAGTCCACTGTGAAACCAACACTGTTTCAACCCCCTGGGTCCTTTGCAACTCTTACTGGTTTATTCCTCTGACCTTACGTTACTACTACACAGTATGGCGGTGCAGGCACAGGAAAGGAATTTATATATTGTTTTTTGTCTTTTGTAGATAAGAGAGGTTTTAACAAACCTTTGGTTTCTGACAGGGTCGTTTCCCATAATGTTTTTTTTAGTATTAAGGATGCTTTTAAATTTTGTAGCAGGATAGTTTTACAATTTTCACTTGTTCACTTTGCTGTAAAAAACTAAAGTACTGGTCAGAAACGAAGATCTCATTCAGCAGCAGTACAAATTATGTCTCTAATTTAGGCTAAACTGACACCAATAAACAATCTGGAAAAAAAACACCAAAACTGTAGTTTTCTATATAGTTTGCATTGGATTTTCCCTAATAATAAAGGTTACAAGCAAAAACTGTAAACTGTAAATACGATGTGCTGAACCTCTGGCTTATGAAATAATGGGATTGATTTACTGAAGGCAGTTAGACTTTATGCAGTTGCATTCATTTTCCTCAGTAAATGTAATATGGCAAAGCTTCGCTTTGTAAAGAATACCAAATCAGGTGCAAGCAAAATTAAAAAAAAAAAATCATGCACATGATTGATGGAAATCAGTAGAGCTTTACCA